TATGTCATTTGATTATATTGATATATGTGACCATTGATGGGTTTAGTTGTGACGGATACAACGAAGACTGCTTTGATCCTGTATTGATATAATTAATGGACGAGATTGTAATGTGTCTTTATAATGATGATGACAAAATTTTGGGCGCACTAATGTTGACACATTCATCTTATATATATGTAGTCCAGTGGGAGATTGTTGAATTAATTTTGGGACTACAATGTAATTAATAAATGTGTTGGGTCATCATTTAATAAGTCAAAATTATTGTGATTTAATTTAGAATTAAGTTTATGACTTTGGGAACATTTGTCATGATATTATAGTATGAATACCATAAGTGCAAATTCTAATTTGATGAGGGGCAGAATTAGAATTAAGCTAAACTTTTTGGTAACCGCCTGATAGTTACTTCAAAGGGTAATGATCCCCGATTTGCAGAGAGACACATCTTTTTTATTGCACCCCATCAACAAGAAACTAAAGAAACTCTAGAAAATCTGCAGATTGGAAGATCATACCTTGTGCAATCGATCTGATAGACTCCGGTACGCTTCCGCTAATCTATCGTTTATTTCTCTTGAAATTGAATGTGATTTTTTTTTTTGAGTCCGAACATTATAAACACACAAGGATTGTGTGGTTAAAATTAACTTTTTTTTTTTATCAAAACACAATTTAATATAGTTAGGGCATAGGAGTGTATATAAGTAAATATTAGAAATAGAAAATAATTTAATTACGTAAACATAAATTTTAATAAAGAGAGTAATAATTAATATTAAAATTAGGAGCAATTATATATAGCACTCAAAACATTACTGCTTGCAAAACTAATACTTACTACAAAATAGTAATACACATTTACATACACACTACATACCTCTTTTTTATTTACATTGTTTAATGCTAGAATATTATATTTATAAATATACAATTTTAAGAGTTCTATAAGTAAATACAAAAGAAAATCGGATGGTATGTCTACATCAAATATTAATAATGAAAGCGCCGTCTCTTTTTCCTGTCGGTGGAGAATTTATTGCATACGGAGTACGCATGTAGTTCTGCGTGCGTAATCCCAAATAATCTCCCTATAACTCATAATAACAGTATGAATAACATTGAAATGGAACCGCAAAGATTATTGAAGGGTTAACATAGGATTATTTCAGCATTATTTGAGTTAATTCCCAATAAACTCATAAAACCCAAAATAAAAATAAAAAAAATATGAACCGCGTTCATATTTTTTTACTTTTTATTCGCGTCATATTTTTTTGAAACATTAACTCAAATAATGCTGAAATAACACAATGATAATATTTTAATAATCTCTACGGTTCCATTTCAATATTATTCATCAAATTATAATTTAAGAGATTATTGGAGGTTGTACTTAGAGAGCTGCGTACATATTCAATTATGCAGAGCTACATGCATGCTTAGGCCCCGTTTGGGGCAGCTTATTGGTGCGGTAGGCGTTTTGAAAACGCCTCCCTTCTGTTTGTTTCACGCGTATCTCTCAGCGATTTCATATCGCTGAACGCCGCTTCAGGCGATTCCTTCATTATTCTCGAACGCCCTTCGACCCCTGCTTTCCGCGTTACGTTAGAGTGTATTACCTCCAGCCCCTCGATCAATCTCATCCCCGCCGTGCCCTTCGCTTCTCCTCTCCGATCTCTCACCCTTCTCTCGCGAGATCGAAGCCATCCAGGTAAGAAGAGATCGATTTCTCTCCAGCCCCTCGATTTCTCTCCCAAGCCGTCCCATCGAAGATGGCTCCAGCGGAGATGCGATTCCCCTATACCGCAGAGGCGTAGGGCGGAGGTGCGATCCCCTTCGGCATCTCCTTTGGCTTCGTCACTGAGCTCGCCGGTGAAGCTTCCTCCGACAAAACTCAACTCTGTCTTCAGATCGTCCTCTCTGCCGCATCTCCCAGCTCTTTCCGCTTCTCTCTTCATTTCCATCGAACCCTTTCCTCCTGTCCCTCCCGGCTCCAGGTGAGGATCGAAAATTAACAGTAATAAATTTCTACCGAAAATTAATAGAAGTCTGCTTAACAGTAATTAATTTCTGCTTTATAAGAAGTTCGAGAGGTTATATGAAATGGATTGGAGGGTTTTATTGGAGAACCATTTGAGCCTATATTTTTTACCTATATAAAAATAGATGAAAAGAAAAGCTAATTTATATAGTAGTAATTCTCTTTTATGTCTTGCATATTATTGCCGTATAATTTTTTAGCTATGGCATTCATATTATTAGGGCCATAAATTGACAACAGACAATGAGACTGGAGTCTTCTTCTACTACCCAGCGCAAGGTTTCTCAAGTCCATTGATCAATTTTCAATGATACAATTGTTTGAAAGATTTCAAATGATTAATTAATGCTAGAATCTTGTCTTTGAATATAGTAATCTGCATATAAGTTCGCTTTGATTTGATGAATCAAGTCAAAATGCGCGCCTAAACAGGGTATTATGAAACAGCTTAACCAAACAGGGGCAGAATCGTCATTTATCCAATAACAACTCCCAGTAAACTGTTCTGGATAAGTTGCCTCAAACAGCAAGTCAGCTTATTATGATAATCTGCAGATTATCAGATTATCATAATAATCTGCTTATCAGCAGATTATAAATAATCATCCAAACAGACCCTTAAAATTTTGGCTCATTGGCTCGCATTTGCTAAACTTCATTTTAATAGCCTTAAAACTTGACAAAATAGTTCTTAACTTTGAATTAAATTTGATTTTTGCTCACAAAACTCTTCAAAAATTCCTAAGTCAAATCAAACATTATTTCAATTATTTGCAAAAGTTGAGTTTTATTATTAAAATACTCACTTAAATAGCAATTCTCGTATAATCAGAATTAGAGTTTAAATTAAATTTATTAGATCAAGATTGCTTTTTCAAGTAAAACTAATATATTACTTCACATAAGAATGTCAAGTATATCACAAGTAATATTAAAATTACTAAGGATTATAAAGCATTTCAAAACTGTGGATTCCTTGAAAATGACAGGTCTAGCCTGATAATGCTAGCTAGGACCATTGCTAGTTTATTTTATGGAAACCAATTTCAATTGTAACCCGAAAGACCTAGACAAACCCACTAATGAATCACAAACTATCATTTACTTCAAGAGCTGTTGATAACTCCCCAAAGACTTTCGTAACATCTTTTAAAACGTTTCCTGATGTTGCATAAATATCTTTTAAAACTTTTGCAACAACTATATCCCTTCCTAAACTATTTTATTGGATTTATTGAAGGAGGAATTACAAAAATAAAAACCAAATCTTACCTATTTATAAAACTAGCATACATATCTTTTTTTTAATTACCAAAGTCATGTCCTTATTAGTGTCACAATCAGATTAAAAAAAAATAGATGTGCAAGTTTTGTTGTGAATTTTGATATTTGGGTGAGAATTTGCAAAATCAAGGAAGATGTTATATAGGTGGTATGCTTGTCATTGCCCTTCTTTTATAATCAGTGTTTCAAATCAATTTTTTTATCTCAACACACCGACAAAAAAATTGAAAGGCTCCTCTTTCTTCCTATGATCTCTTGGAAAATTATTTCAAGATTGCCTAGATCTAATCTCTTGCAATACTTAAAATTTTGTTTACATTTTTTAAACATTCAACAAAAAAAAATTTGAATACGAAAAAATTCAAATTTTCTCATTGTAAATTTGTTTACATTTTGCACTTAAAATCTAGAAAGATTTTGAGAATTGATCTCAAACTTCTACATTCAGATTTTGCACAATAAAAAGTGAGTAGACTAAATTATGTTGGGTTTCTGCACCAACACAGAGTGAAGAAGCTTTTAGGCTTACTATGGTAAGCCCAAGGTTAGTGAAAATACTAATCTGAGTGTTTATCTAATGTGTACATGGGCAAGAGGCAGGCCAAACCACATAAAAATCATTGTATGCTATATTCAATACATGTATAACATTTTTACTGCCTATATTGTTTTTAAAGTTTTGAATTTGACAAATTGTGATTTAAATTTTTGCATACACCATTCAGAAACTTCATGGTTTGCCATGACCATCACATCTAATTTTAATTAAAATAAAGCATGAGGTGGATGCACCATACTGAAGCTATATGAAAATTACTAGAGATGTAAAGTGGAATAGTGATGATCAAATCATAACTAAAAATAAGAGAAAATAGAAATTACAGTAAACAAAACCAACCAAATGACAAACAATTTAAAAAAGAAAAAAAAAACAGAAACTACATTACTAATGCTAGAATTTTGTCTTTGAATATAGGGTCTGTTTGGGGCAGCTGCAGTTTATC